TTTTTTACTGTTATATGTCTTTTATTTCATAGTTTTTAATTAAATAATAATGTTTTAATTAATTAAAATTTGAAATGACATCGTAATAAAAAATCGACGCTAACTATATTTTGACATTAAATTTCCCAAATTTATCATCAATGCAAATTAAACTGTTTTGCATTCACAAGTTAGCGCATAATTTAATTAATTTTATTTAATTTGTTAATCGAACAATATATATAATATTAGACATTAATTGGCTTAGAAAAATTCTAGTTTTTTGTTCAAATAATATCTTAGATGCAATAATCTTAATAAAAATTCGACGCTAACTATATTTTGATATTTAATATCCCACATATATCATCAATGCAATTTCAACTGTTGTGCATGCCCAAGTTAGTTCACATTTAATTTAATTATATATAATTTGTTAATCGAATAAGATATATAATATTGTATATCAATCGTTTTAGAAAAAATTCTAGTTTTTTATTTTGATAATATCTTTGATGCAGCAAGTTTAATAAAAATTCGACGTTAGCTTTTCTTTTGCAGTACTATGGACTTACCAATAACTCTGCAACTGTACATTATGTTTTTCAGTGCCATTTTAATTTTTCAGCGAATTTAATTTAAGATGGTATGCCATCTATTAACCAACTTTGTACAGATTTTTTGAATAATTAATAAAATTAAATTAATTTCGATTTTTTTCAAATAATTGTGCTTATTAGAGTATTGTATTGAAAGTTATTTATATATAAACTGTTTTCTGACTTCTGGGATATGCTTTTTATAAGAAAAATGTCGTTTTTAAAGGAAAATTGATTTCTGAACTTTGACACTCAATAACTTTTAAGTTAATCGACCAATCTATAAATATGAAGACATTAAATGAAAGTTTGAAGTGTCCTCTTTCGATTAAGCTAACTTGCAGAAAAATGGTACCTCTGCTTTTAAAGATATAATTAATTTTGTAAAGTAACCTATTTTTATAAAATTTTATTTTCCTTATTTTGAAGAAAATTTTTTCTATATTATGTAAAAAGCGATTATATTTAGAAAAACAAACATATTTTTTATTGTTAGAAGCTTTTTAGTTAATAATTTTTGGTCAAGTAACAAAGTTTTAATTAAATAATATTTGAAAATAACATCTCTATCTTCATCGCAGCACTGCTCCTAAGCTAATCGAACAACCTATACAAAATTTTGCATTATATGAAAGGTAATTTTATCCTCTTTCGAATGAGCCATAAAAAAAAAATGGTACCTCTAGTTTAAAAGTTATTAATAAATTAGTGACCCCATCTTTTGGGGCTGATTTTTATTTTTCATTTTTCATACAAATTACGTCATTTGTACATAAAAGTTGAATGTAGATAGTAAATTAATTCAATTTTCTACTTAATATGCCTTTTGCTGCATTAAATTTAATAAAATAATAAATTTTTCCTTAATTAAACTATACTGCATTTCACGCGGCGAAAAATGTTCCAATTCCATTTTGGACTTATCGTCGACGCTATCTTCACGCACATTAAGAAACCGGGTTATTTCAATTTAATTATTTTCACAAAACAAAAATTTTTACATTTATATTTATACTTATTTACTAACAAATTAGCATTAGGTGGACTGTTCAACGTTACCGACTAGGCTACGCTGGTAGTCGGTATCGCTAATTCCAATACTTTAATTTTTTAATAGTTTATGTTATTGATTGGAAATTGTGCAAATTGACACCACCATTGTTACAAGAAGTAACTAATAAGAAATCAAAGCTATTTGTAAACAAAAGTCCAAAACACTCCTAGATTTCAAGAATTATTCATGTCATACGCAATCAGTCGGAACTGAAGCTTCCAATACAGTTTGCGGACAAAGTGCGAGGGATGGTTCAATCAGAGCAAAACCTTATCAAGATCGAACATGCCTGATTATTCGCAAAAGTTTATTATAAGTTTATTAAACTAGAACATCAGTAAAGTCTTAAATTCACTCATTTGGGTAGCTGTATGGTTAGATAATATATGTAACGAAGTTAATAACACATCCTACTTGAAAAGTTGGATGGGTAGGGAAAGTGTGGACAATTGTGAATATTTTCAGTAAATATGCGTTTGGTATATATTATAATACTAGGTGACCCCGTGAACTTCGTACCGCGTAACAGTCAATAAATGTTATATTAAATTATAGGTAAACTAAATTTAGAAATTTATTAACGTAATAAAATGAATACAAAAAATTTATTGTATTCAATAGTTTATTAGGATATTGATATATAATTAATTATTTTAATGGTCTGTCAGCAAGAACCTATGGGTTGCACTCCGATTGATTCTCTTCAATAAAGAACCTTGTGATATACGATATTTTTTTTTTTATCAGGCGCAAGAACAATTAAAGCAGATGGTTTGCCTACTCGTGAACATGCCACGTACAATTGACCATGAGAAAAGCATGCATTTTCTAGATTCAGACCACAAACACTTAAGGATTGGCCTTGTGATTTATTTATAGTCATAGCGAATGCAAGCCGAATAGGAAATTGAATTCGTTTAAACTCAAAGGGCATATCGATTGAGATCATTGGAATCCTCGGAATGAGAACTTCATCACTTTTGAATTTTCCTTTGAGTATCATTGCGTGAATCACATTGGCCATCAGTTTTGTTATCACTAAACGCGTTCCATTGCATAGTTTTGGTTGGTTTAGATTTCGAAGCATAATGACTACCGAACCAATCTTTAATTGTAAATTGTGTGGTGGTAAGCCAGGCACATCCAAGGAGTTCAAAAATTCAGTTGGATAGTTGGTAGCTTTTTCTTCGTTTGTTACACAGCCAATAGATTTGAATGTATGCAGAGTACCAACGATTTGATTTTGAATTACAAAGCTTAAGTCATTCACATCTTTGTTCTTAGCTGCCAAAATTGCTCGCTCACTCAACCATTTTTTGTTTTTATGATTATCAATGATGTTCGGAAATACTTCATTGATGAGTTCGTCTTTTGATGAGACGAAATTGCAAAAATTTGAAGGAAATGCAATTAATCCGCTCGATTCTTCAACAGCCACACGGCCATTACCGATTAACAGCAATTGCTTGGAGAACTCTTCAGCAGATGTATCGTTTACCAATGCAACTCTCATGTTTGTTACCAGCTGAAGTTTCTTCACATAGCGCCAAAGATTTGATGATTTAAGGCAAGCATTTATTTCGTCGGCAGCAGTCGATTTTGGAATGACTGGGAGTATTTGGCGAAAATCGCCAGACAGTAAAATCATTGCGCCTCCAAAACATCTCGAGTCATTGCGAAGATCTTTCAATATTCTGTCAAGTGCTTCTAATGCGCGTTTGTGCGCCATTGTGCATTCGTCCCAGATGATGATTTTAGATGCTACTAAAACTTTAGCCATTGCAGATTATTACATATCGGTTGCTCGGTAGTTTGAAGGTTTAACGGCAATTTTAACGCTGAATGAGCCGTACGGCATCCTTCTAACAATGTAGCCGCTATTCCAGAAGAAGCAACTGCTACCGCAATGTCGGAACAGTGGCCAAAATTAATGACATGAGGAATGTTTTACCAGTTCCACCGGGGGCGTTCAGGAAAAAAAGCCACCATTTTCTTCATCAATCGCTTTCATTAATGTTAAACTTCCTTCTGTTGCGGATTCAATAGAGGTACATTAGTTTGAACTGATTGGTCTAATTCATGTCGATCATATTCACGTCCACGTTCCAATTCTCGATTAAATGCGTTATTTATTCCACGATCAGGAGCTGGCATTCCTAATCTGACTAACAAACTACCGCAGGTATGGTAACATATGTCTTCGATCAAGAGCAAAGCCTGATTATGCATTTCATCATTCTCCTCAAGATCGGGATTTCTTGGACTGACACGAATTCTATGTAAAATGTCTTCTGACATGTTATCCTTATATTTGTTCCACAGGTCACGTGGATTCGATGGTATATTGACAACAATATTTATTTATTATATTTGAATTTATCATATTTGAAATTTCAAATATTTCAAATATTTGAAAAAAAAATTTAAAAAGAAATCAATATCACTCAAACTGTCGAACTGTCAACAGTTTGAAACAGCATTTACAAATTAATTATTTTTGCTAAAATTAGTGGATTTTTCCAATATTTTATAATGTATTCTGCTATTCGGAGCGGAAACGATTCCAACAAATCAAAGATAATTAAAATCGGTTCAGCCGTTCTTGAGTTATGAGTGGTGTAACTAACACAACTTTCTTTTATGTATATAGATGAATGATGTTTAATAGTTTTTATATTTGTGGTAGTTTGAACAATATACTATGGTAATAGACCATTGTGCACTGCATTTATTTTCAATTACAATTTGCAACTGTCGTCGCATTTAAATATGAAGGCACGAAAAAAACGCGTTTTATCAATTTTGCGATGATATTGGGCGACAGGTTAATATTATTATATCAATGGTTTATTTTATTTTAATATTTTGGACTTTAAACTGAATAAGAAAAGTTAAACTGTATTAATTGTATGTATATTACTAATTGCAATTTTTTTTGAAAAATGAGCGATTTAATCAGTTTTCCCAACTTTTAGAGGCGATGCGCGAATGGAAGATTTCAACTGATAATTTTTATTTTTTCCATTTTTCTATTCTATACTAGAGGCAAATTTTGCGAACTATAGCGTCTCGAAAAAAAATTTTTTTTATTTTTCGAACCACCCAAGTGAAGAACTTGTTAAAGCGGCCATGCTAACATCAACGATTACCACTAGTCCGATTCTCAAGCACGGTAACTGACCGATCCGGTACAAAATCTAAGAAGGCATTAGCGATTGCAGTTTTTAAAACGGACAGACCTTGCATTCCTATATAGTACAGTAATGTATATTGAAGGCAACCATGCAGCATTCATACTTATTTTAATTTTTCACACAAAAAAACTCTAAGCAATTTATAATATAAGAAATATAAACACATTATTTTTAAGTGCTTAAAAATAATTTTAATTAGTTAAGGGAAAATATATTAAATAACTTAGGTTGTACCTCCAACTACTCTAAGCCTAGTACCCAATTGATACCTTGTACTATAAAGAAAATAAGTGGTTGCCAAGCAACCAGCCATCTGATCCAATCTAAGAGGCGTCCATAAAGCACGTGTGGTCGTTCCCATCTGGAAATACATATTGTTTGAATATAACTCTTAAAAACAATACAAAAAAATTTACTTACGGATTACAAAACATTTTTTTTAGATCAACTTTCTCTTTACAATATGGACAGGTTTGTTTTTTGCCAACGATACACCATCCTCGTATGCAAAATTCGTGAAAGACATGATTGCACGATAATTTGTAAGTATTTTCAATAGTACCAGATTCTTTTGCACGAGATAGTAGATTTCCACAAACTGCACAGACATTATTTTCTAAGTACCGCGTAGGTATTCCTTGTGGAGTGTAATACTAAAAAGTAAAAAAAAAAGTAATAATTGATGATTTACTGAAATAAAACACCTACACCTATTAAAGCTGCCATTTTCTCAGAACAAAATTCAGATATATCTCTTCCTAGTACTCCAATATAAAGTCCATAAAATACACATAAAAAACCAACATCCATCCAAACATTTGGTTGTTGATTAAAAATGAAATTTAATCCCAAAAATGTGGCCATCATTATAAAATAACCTACAATACCCAAACCGTAGCTAAACTTGTATAAGAAGTAAAACCACTTGTAAACGAGTCTGCAATTGAAAACAAAATTAATCAATTTCATTTTTCAATTTGCAAAAACTTTATTAGCACACCTCGGCGTAGTCCCTTGTATTGGTTTGTTTGTAGCTGTTCTAATTATTAAAGCTGTTATAAACGAAAACACCGCCCAAATAATTATAAAACGCAGCCACCTATAAAGAAACGATATTACCAAAGGAATAATCCACATTGCTAAAAGTGTGGCCACCTAAAATATATTTCTGCATAAATATACGAATCCACACTGTAGACGTAAAAACTTTCTTACAAAATAAGACTTATTGTGTCGTTTTTTCCATTCGATTAAAATTATTTGTGCAACAAGAAGTGTTATAAACAAAATAAGAACCATTTCGGAATGCATAGTTTCGTGACCTTTATGTTTCTCGTGCATTAATTGATGTTCGGCACTATTATAAAAAAAGGAATAAGGTAAGCAAAATATAATTTTTTAATATATTACCGTAATCTCTCCTCCGGTGACATATTATCAAGTGACTAAAGAAAAGATTTTAATTTATATGTTTATGATATAAAAATATAACACGTAAGTAATAAGAACCTTGCTAAAATCCACTGGTATGTGTAGTGCCGACCCATCCATCTTAAGGAAAATTTAACTTAGGATTTCAAAATAATAAACAAGACTTCATTGAAAGTACACAAAAACATTAATTACATAAAATATAACGGTAAATTTTTATTCATTTAGAAGAATTCCAACACTTCTATTTAATAACACATATTTTTCAAAATACTTTTTCACACTCGGTAAGATTGTATTTTGATAAAATCAACTTGATCTTTCAGAGTTGCAATAAATAGTTATGGTAACAATAGTGGCATATAGGGAGTTGATACCTTAACTCTGAAAAAAGTTTGTTTACACACAAATAAAAAAAACTTTTCTCACCGCAAATGCTATTCCTCAAGTGCGAGTGCATTTTTCGTGCTGAATATAAAATCATGACGTGCTCAAATCATTTTTGAAAGTTGTCAATGACGAAATTTGTATTTACACTGAATAAACTCAGTTATTGAAAATAAATGGGTGAAAGGCTCACATTATACTAATTATAATGCAATTTTATAATAATTAATATATTAACAATTTTTATTCTATATTTTTATAATTTGTTTTTTCAGTTAAAAAATTCTATATTGATATTTGGGTACAAAGTTTTACTCCTTTTACTTTTTTACATTTTTGCACTTTAAAAAAATAATAATACAAAATTGTGTTTAATTTTGACTAACATTTCCTATGTTGTTTAAAAAAGGGCCAAATTTACGTTGAATAAAACTTAACAAAAGTGTGCAAAAATTCACTTTTCACAATTGAGTAATAACAAAATTAATATATAAGCAAATTTTTATATACACTTCAGTTTGTACAGTTCAAGAATGGACTCCCAGATATGTTTCGATGTCAAAACTGACATGTTCCACATGTTCTTCTGACATGTTCTTCGTGCCGAAGAAAAATAGAGGATAATATAAGAATCGGTGATTGCATTCAACAATAACAATACTTTATATATATTTATTTATATTAAAAATTTTTGTAATATAAAATCTATTATCATATTATATGGTTTAAGTCAAATTTTATGATTAGTTTACGCATGACAAATACGCATCATAAATTCACATTATAAGATATTATGATGTGTATTAAGACAATTTAATTTACTAAAATTGTAAGTAATAAATAAAATAATAATAAAATTCTAAAATGTGAGAATGAACGTTATTTTATTATTATGTATTTAAGACGTGTGCGAGTTTTGCTTAGTATGAATACCAACTTTTAAATCAAAGAATACGCTTCAAAGAATGGAAACTACGCCCACTTTGAGCGCAACGAAAAGAAATTACTACAGAAAATTTATATTTTATAACATTTTGGCACACGTATTAAATATATTTGATCTTCCCACGATGACATAAAATTCAAAGAATACTTGTATAAGAAAAAGAAAGAAAAAGAAATTGTTGTCGAAAATTAATTTTTTATAACAATTTGGTCACAAGCAAAGAATACTTGTACAAGAACGGCAAAACAAACCAACCAACACACTCTCAAAATAATTTACTACTACTAGACCAGGCATGTTGTTTTGTTGTTGTAAGTCGACCCACCACGGATGAAAAGTTTCACCACGCCGAACGAAACGTTTCACCACCGCGAATGGTTTTCAATCTTATTTTACTACAGAAAAACGATATGAAGAGCCCTAATTGGATATTCCTATTTTTCCTTTGGAAAAATAATTTCATATATCAACTACAATTATTATTTCAGTTATTAATATTTGAAGATGGTGCGGAATTGTGTAAAGAGATGTAAGTTATTTAATGGAATATTTGAATTTCCGAAAAATGACGAAAAAAGGTATAAACAATCATTTATTAATTGTGAATTTAAAATACATGTTTTTTAAGTATATAACTACAAATTAGTAAAGCAAAAATAGCTATATGTGAGTATATAAATATATTTTAATAAAGTTTTCTTATGCGAAATAGAATAACAAAAATTGTATACTATTTTTTGGAAGTAAAAAGAGTGGAGTTTGTAAAGTATATTTCTATGTTAAAATATTCATATTCAATGTATTAAAAGTTTAAAAGCCTTTAATAATACTTAATTTATTATTAATTAATTTCAACAATTTTATTTTTAAGTAAGATTTTATTTATAACTTTTATTCAATAAAATAACATATAACATATTTCACAATTAATAAATTTTATTATTTAATTTGTTTATATTAAAAGCACTGAATTAAATTAAATCGTATTTATCTCGGGACTGCTTAAAATTTAAAAATATGAACATTTGGTAGTCTTCCATTATCCAATTAGATTTGTGATGCATTAACAATTGGTTGAAGGATGGCAACAGTTTTGTTAATATCATCAAAAGTACAGCGAAAACGCACGTAAATGTCTCGAACCATGCACTTTTTCCAGCAAAACACAAAAAAACTAAATGCTCCTTTCGGTTCAGCGAGCGGACCAAAAGTTAGCCATTGTATAGCTCACCTTTTAATAGCCGATAATAACTCGAAACAGCATTTTTTAATAGATACCGGCGCAGACGTTTCCGTTCTACCAGCTCGTCGCTTTGCTAAACAAAAAACGACGAAAACGACACAATTATTTACAACCAACGGTACTCCCATAAGGACATATGGCGAAAAACGTTTAAAAGTATCCTTGAATTTAAGACGCGATTTTATTTGGACATTTATAGTAGCGGACGTTAACAGTGTCATCATTGGATCTAGTTTTTTAAAACACTTCGGTCTTTTAGTTGATGTAAAAGGTAGTAAACTTATTGATCGAAAAACGCTACTTGAGGTAAATGGCATTGCAACTCAATCTAATGCGGTTCAAGTACGAGCACATTCTACTCAGGGACATTACGCTCAGTTACAACACGAATTTAAAGACTTAGCGATAATTAATGCGAATAAGCAGCCAATTACCACCAAAGTGACGCACCATATTACTACGAAGGGTCCTCCAATATACGCTCGTGCTCGTCGGATAACCGGAGAGAAGTTAATTGCAGCAAAAAAGAAATCGGAATTTTTAATAAAAAAGAAATCAAACGGTGAATGGCGTCCTTGTGGAGACTATCGTGCATTAAATGATATAACGATTGCAGATAGGTACCTAATACCGTATTTACATGATGTTACCAACATTTTATATGAAAAAATGATTTTTTCAACGATCGATTTACAGCGGGCTTATCATCAAATACTGGTCGAGCCTTGCGATATACCCAAAACGGTCATTATAACTCCTTTTGGGCTTTATGAATTCTATGACATTTGATTTAAGAAACGCCATACAAACTTTTCAACGCCAAATAAACGAGGTTCTAAAAGGTCTCGATTTCATATTTGCATATATAGATGACATACTCAAAGCATCGAACTCAGAGGAGGAGCATGAAAAGCATCTACGAATTGTACTGGAACGCCTTCGTCTAGTAAACTTGGCTGTAAACTTTGGAAAATGTCAATTTGGTAAGCATGAACTAATTTTTTTGGGGCATAACATCAGCACACGGAGTATAAAGCCATCTGAAGAAAAAGTGAATGCTGTACGTAATTTCCCAAAAACTAAAATAGCTAAACAGCTTAAAACATTTTTTGGAATGATAAATTTCTATCGCTCATGCATTCCCAAAGCGACGAAAAATCAACAAATATTACAACAATTAATATTTGAAAATGCGTTCGAAGAATGCAAGAGCGAACTTGCTAATGCCACGCTATTGAATTTCATGGCTCCAAATACGAAACTTACGTTCACCACGGATACATCGGACGAGGCAGTCGGTTCAGTATTGCAACAAGTTGCAAAAAACCAAGTACAACCTCTCGGGTTTTATTCGAAGAAACTCACGCCTCCTCAGAAAAATTACAGCGCCTACGATCGTGAGTTAACAGCAATATATCAGGAAATAAAACATTTCAAATATGTTCTTGAAGGTAAAGAATTCGTAACTTGCTTTCAAGAATCGACTTGGTACAGAATGTGGTTATAAACTTTGATGAGATAGCTGTACAATAACAATCTGACGCAGAATTACAGACACTTCTGAAGAAAGGTGGGGATAAGACGATTTCCCTTACAAAGTTGTCTATTCCGGAATCAACAAAGGAACTCTATTGTCACATTTTACGAGATGGAATAAGACCTTACATACCAAAGAGTTGTCGCTAAGCTATCATTTACAAGATGCATTCTTTGTCACATTCAGGCGTCAGAGCAACAAAAAAATTGTAACAGACCATTATCTTTGGCCTTCCATGTCAAAAGATGTAGCCGCGTTTGTACGCTCATGTATTCCATGTCAGAAGTCAAAGATACATCGGCACACCAAATCACCACTATGTGATTTCGCATCAGTTGACGTTCGGTTCGAGCACATTAACATTGACATGATTGGTTCACTGCCAACATCGAATGGTTTTCGCTATTGTTTGACATGTATCGACCGATTCAAGATGGCCTGCCGCAATTCCAATGGTCGATATAACAGCTCAAAATGTTGCTACTACACTTATCAGTGGTTGGATATCCAGTTATGGTATCCCATTATATATAACTACGGATTTAGGAAAGCAATTCGAGTCAGCTGTTTTTAAAAAATTAATGGAGTTCCTGGAAGTTAAACATTTACGTACCACACCGTACCACCCACAATCAAATGGTATTATAGAGCGTTGGCATCGTTCATTAAAGTCTGCCATCAAATGCTCTGAAACAAATAGCTGGAGCGCTGCTCTTTCATTGATACTGCTTGGCATGCGTACCGCCGTTAAAAGTAATATTGGATTAAGTCCCGCCGAAATGGCTTTTGGTGCACCTTTGAGAATTCCCGGCGAATTCTTAGTTCCTCGAAATAATACTGCTAGTGAGACAGAATTCACTCAAGCGCTTCACAAAGCAATACTCAGTCTCCCTTCAACAAATCCACAACGACATGGTAATTATCAACAGTTCATACCTCCATTGTTAGGTAAATGTAAATTCGTGTTTGTAAGAATCGATCGAGTTCGAACACCGTTACCAATCTACGAAGGATCGTTTGAAGTAATAAATAAGTATGAAAAATGTTTCATCCTGAAAATCCATCAACGAGAAGTCAAAATATCAATCGATCGTCTAAAAGCAGCTTATTTATTTAACGATACAGCAAATGCTATACCAATAAATCCATTTTTTAGTCATAGTAGTAGTAAAATTCCTTCAGCAAAAGTTGAAAGAAAAACTTCAAATGGTATACCATCACAACACTCACAAATTTCTTTAATAAATCTTATATGTAAAAATGAATCGAAAAATGTGTTGGTAAGCGCATAACTCAACAACGCGATAAGAACATAACCAGAATAGACGGTCAGTAATCTCGTAATAATTCTTATGTTAGTTTTTGATTGTACTGTGCAATCTTTAAAGCGTTATGGTTGTAAGTTTAGGGACTTTAGCATTTTAGCATTTTAGATTGTGAGAATCTTGGTAGCATTACCCAATAGAGTTCTCTCTCTTTTTTCTCTGCGTCATTCATAATAATGGATAGAGCTCCTTTACCTAGATCACAGAATGGTTCTGGGCCTATCATTCTTGATGCCGCACATCTTCTCGCAAGTTTATCTGCCATTTCATTACCTTGGATACCAGTATGTCCCGGAATCTATAAAAGGTGCACCTGATTGATCCCACAGAGTGTGTTCAGCTTGTCAATGCATTCCCATACCAGTTTGAATGTTACCTGGTAAGATATGAGTGCCATTATAGCTGCCTGGCTGTCAGTCAGTATTGCAATTTTACGGTTCCGGTAGTTACGTTCAAGATTGAAACTGGTGCATCTATCTATCGCGTATATTTCCGCTTGAAAGATGGTTGTATTGTTTCCTAATGCTTCCCAGTATTTTTTGCCTGGTCCATAAACACCAGCTCCAGCTCCCTCATTGGTGAGAGAGCCGTCTGTATACCATGTTATCGTGGTTTCTTTTATTTTTGGGGTGTTAGACAAACCTTCCCAGTTCTTTTTGTTGCCAAGTTCAGTTTTGAAGTTTTTTGTAAAGTTATGCTTTACAATCATCCTGTCCATTGGCATTTCAATTTCTGGGATTTGTGCAGCCAGAGTATCAAGTTTTTTGCTGTTGGTTTCAAGACCAGTCACCTTGTTTGTATACCCAAAAATTTTACCTCCTTTTGTAGTTTTATTTCAAACCCAATTAAGCGGATGGGTTTGAGGTTTTTTATTTTGCATTTTCTAGTGAATAGCACAATGGTTGTTTTTGCTGGATTTATTTTCAGCCCAACCGAATTGCACCATTCTTTAGTTAGTTTTAAGCTTAACTGGATTCTTTCGCACAGAGTATTCTCAAATTATCCTCTGCAGATAATTACCACATCATCGGCGTACCCCTGGATTTGGAAGCCATTCCTGTCCAGTTTTACCAATAATTCATCCACTACCATACTCCTCATAAGGGGTGATAATACTCCACCTTGTGGGCACCCTCGCAAAGTATTTGCAAAAATATTGCCACTACTGGTCGGAATTTCTACTCTCCTGGTGCGAAGCATATTGCTCATCCAGCGTGAGAGTGTGCCATTGATTCTTCTTTTAGAAAGAGTTGACTTTATAACCTCATGTGAAGTGTTATCAAAGGCTGCTTCAATGTCTAAGAAAGCGCAAATTTCTATCTCTTTCTTATCTATGCTGTCCTGAATCGTGTTACTTAGTTAATGCAGGGCCTGTTCAATAAGGCGTTTCTTATTGAAACTGAATCGACACTTGAATCGATTCAGTGTTGCTTATGGTTAGGAATCTGGCACTTGAACCAGTTCCTATTGCAAGGTCTGAATTTGGCACTTAAACCAACTTCAGGTGGATTCAAACAATAACAATATTTTTTGAGCAACTAGGCACATGAACCTATTTGCAATTGAGTTTTAATAAGCACTTGAACTAATTAAAACGCAAGGGCTGTTCTGTATTGAATGAATGAATTTATTACAAAATATTGTGTTTTTATACAAAATGCTTAACACTAAGCTTATGGTAAAAGAGCAAATGCACCTAGTTCCCACGATTTGTTATCCGATGGACTTTGAACATTCAAGGCCAAGGGCACTCGTGGAAAATATGTGCATTTCCTATGCTTATACAATTTGATGCAGTCAGCAAGCTGGTATATGTATTTTGCCATATACCAACTTGCTTCACAAATTTGGTGACTTAAATGTGTTATCACTTGTGCCATGCGCCAACTCTTATTGCACCTGTGGGAACAACAGAATTGTCGCAGCGGCTTGCCTATTGCTGCAACTCACAACGAACACACGATCAAAGAAAACGAACATGATGCCTATCAACCTTGCACAGTGGCGTGTGAAGATCATCATGTTACGTCTGGCACGCTGATAGCGTGCGAATATTTAGTTGTGAGAGCCAGCAACATTGCTAAAATATTTGATAACACAATTAAACCCAACAACCAAAACAACATAAGACACTAATTTAAAATAATTATTTATACATATACTGAATACAATAATACAAATAATACAAATATTAATACAAATACAATGCAAATAATTATTTTAATTGATATTTATTTATACTAAAAATTAATATAAGCTTAACATTTATGTCCAAATTGGACATTCTGCCCCCGTTGACGCCAGTCAATCCTCTTCTGCTACTTCGACCTTGGACATTGCATGTTGCTGTTGAGTTTTGCTCGTTTTCTAGGCTGTTCTTCATCACATCTATCAAGTTGCATCATGGGGGTTGAACAATCTTCCGACAATAATGGTGCTAGCCGATGTATTGGACGCTTCCAAATCCCGTTTTTCGTTTTGACATCTACAACTCTGATTCTTCCATCATTACCGGAATAGCATTTGATGATTCTGCCCAGAGGCCATTGAAGCGGAGAAGCGTTGTCTTCTTGAATGATTACCAGCATTCCTTCTTTGACGTCAGGTGATTGGTCCTTCCATTTAGTGCGACACTGTAGCTCATTAAGATACTCCTTTGACCATCTTGACCAGAACTCGTTTTTTAGATGATTCACCAGCTTCCACCTGGTTAAAAGCGATTGTTTGGTTGTAGTTTCTGACCTACTTGGAAGGGCTGTTAGCGGTTCTCCTATTAAGAAGTGTCCTGGGGTGAGGGCAGCCGGGTCATTTGGATCTGATGACAACGGTGTTATTGGTCTGGAGTTTAGCATACTTTCAATTTGGGTTACCACTGTTTCCAATTCCTCGTAAGTGAGTGACACGTTGCCAATAGTTCGCACCAATAGATATTTAGCTGATTTGACAGCAGCTTCCCATAATCCTCCGAAATGTGGTGCTCTCGGAGGTATAAAATGAAAAACAATTCCTTGAGCTGAACAGGATCTTATTATGTTGTTTTGAGCATTTGTGCTGTGAATGCTTTCAGCTAACTCGTTCATTTGATTTTTAGCGCCCACAAAATTAGTAGCGTTGTCACAATATAAGTTCTGACATCGACCTCTTCTTGACGTAAACCGGTTCAAAGCGCCTAAGAATGCATCTGTAGTGAGATCACTAACAACTTCCAAATGTACTGCCTTCGTGGAGAAGCAGCAAAACACTGCGATGTACGCTTTGCATGGTCTTTTGCCTCTAATTTTGTGGTGTATCCATATGGGACCACAGAAGTCCACACCTGCGTTGAAAAAAGGTCTTTGAGCTTGGACTCTGTCAGCTGGTAGATTGCCCATGATTTGTTTGAACATGTGTGGGCGTACACGAGTGCATTGTACACAATGTTGCACAATGGATCGAGCCATAATCTTGCCTTTTATTGGCCAAAATCGCTGCCTGCCCTGGGCTAAATTTGTTTGCGGTCCCCAGTGAAGTCCCTTCTCATGTAAATGTTTCATTATGAGCTTAGCTATTGGATCGTTATATGGCAGCAGCATGGGGTGTTTGGCATCGTAGGTAAGATGTGATGACGTCAATCGACCTCCAACCCTGATGACGCCACTATCATCGATAAATGGAGAAAGTCCGTGGAGACTACTGCTTCCCTTCAGATCCCTTTTCTTTAAGAGTTGATGTCGTTCTTCATTGAAATCACTTAGCTGTATGGCTTTTATAATTATGAGTAATGACTCATCCAGTTCTAATGGTGTCAAATTGATGTCGTTGTGCTTGCTCTTATTACGTAACCCTTTGATGAATCTCAACACATAGCCAAGAATTCGTTGCAACCTTATGAATGAGTTTCCATGCCTTATCGTATAAATCATTTTGATTAGTTCATCATCATGTGAAATTGTAAGCACATGCACCTTGCTTTTGACTTCCGCTTGTATATGGTCGGATGTTATCAATTCCTGACGGAATGGTTGGGGCCAGCATTCTTGATTTCCATGAAGGAAAAGTGGCCCATAAAACCACATTGCATTCTTCTGAATGTAAATTGGATCTACACCTCTGGATAATAGATCAGCTGGATTTTGTTTAGTATTGACATGCCTCCACTGTTCCTTTAGTGTTAATTGCTGAATCTTACTGATACGATGAGCAACGAAAGTTTGGAATGTTGATGGTTCTGAATTGATCCAATGCAATGTTATCTCAGAATCAGTCCACATATATATCGGATGATGTTCATATTCCAAATCCTTTTTTACCTTTACTACCAATTGTGCTCCTAGTAAAGCCGCACATAACTCAAGTCTTGGTATTGTCTGCGTTTTTAGTGGAGCGACGCGTGATTTTGAACAAAGTAACTGAACTGAGATAGTTCGATCAGTCATTTCGGCTCTGATGTAAATGGCAGCTCCATAGGCCCTTTCGGAGGCATCAGTAAATACATGAATCTGAGTATTCCTCGGTTGTTTATGATGAAATATATGTCGTGGAATCTTCACATTGTTTATTTCACATAAGCTCTGACGAAAATGGGTCCATTGAGTATGCATTTCAGCAGGCAGAGCTTCATCCCACGAAAGTTTTAACTGCCACAATCTTTGAACAAATATTTTCGCCTTCACTACTACGGGAGCCATTAATCCAAGTGGATCAAAAATGTGCGCCAACTCGGAACTTACGGTCCTCTTTGTTATTTTGCTGTGTATAGGTCCGTTAGTTTTTATTGAAAACTGATCAGATTTTGGTAGCCAGATAAGGCCTAGAGTTTTTACTGTCTTATGTGACTCACTGCTGACATCGAGATCAACTTCTTGATCTTCTGGAGCGAGTCCTTGAAGTAATTGGGCATTATTTGCGCACCACTTGCGAGGTTTGAAACCAGCTGTCGCCAATATTTTAATAAGTTGATCCTTTGTTGCAATTGCCTCCGTGAGACTGTCTGAGCCACTTAAACCGTCATCGACATAAAAATCCTTGCTGAGTGTAGCGGAACCAAGCGGAAATTTAACGGCATGCTCTCTGGCCAGGGTTTGTAGACACTTAGTTGCCAGATACGGCGCTGCTCTTGTGCCATACGTTACCGTTTTTAATTTGTAATAGCACAAGTTTTCCTCTGGTGACTCTCGCCAGATAATGATTTGAAGATATTCATTTCTTGGATCAATTAGTATCTGCCGATACATCTTTTCTGTTGTAAAAACGAAGCGTGGTTTCCTGAAACGCAGTAAAATGGATGAGAGTTCGGTTTGCACGACTGGACCATTATGCATGATATCATTGAGTGAGACTCCGGTTGATGTTCTTGCAGATGCATCAAACACCACTCGAAGCTTTGTTGTAGTACTATCTGCCTTGATTACACAATGATGTGGCAAAATGTAATGTGGATGCATTATATCATCCTGATTGATTTTTTCCATGTGGCCGAGATGTTCATACTCTCGCATGAAGTCAACGTACATCTTCTTTAGTTCAGAATTCTTCAACAGCCGACGTTCAAGACTAAAAAATCGATTCATCGACATCTGCATGGATTCACCAAGAACAGTTGTATCCTCCTTAAATGGTAGTTTCACGACAAATCGCCCTTCATGATTGTGGTGAGTATTTTGAGCAAAAGATTCTTCACATTTCTTTTCTGCATCAGTGAATTTGTCATCCGTTTGATTGATTTCCTCCAATTGCCAGAATTTAGTAAGTATATTATCCAATGCTTCGTCGTCAGCTTCGCTGCACATGCCACAGGTAAGTAATTTTTGATTACCGTTGCTAACTTTGCCACTGCATATCCATCCGAAAACCGTGTTCTGAAGTGCAGGTAGACCCTCACCTATTTTGATTTGACCAATCGATAAAAAGCTGTGATAGAATTCTGCTCCAATTAATAAGTCAATTTGATTTGGATTCGCGAAGTCTGGATCAGCCAATTTTATATTTTGAGGAATTGACCAACCAGAAGTGTCCAGACACTGTGTTGGTTGGGCTGAGATAATTCGAGGCATCACGAATGCGTTGATATTTACATTGAAATCATTAATTCGAGACTGAATTTTTGTTGTCACACTGTATTTTGTGTCCCTTTTGCTTCTACCAATTCCTTCTATCCATAACGGTGATGAGTGTAACTGCAATTTTAATTTTCTTGCCAGTTTTTCTGTGATTAAGTTTATTTGTGATCCAGAATCGA